GTTTTCACAAAAAATTGAATTCAGGTCAATTAGCTACTTTTAGCTCCATTCATAATATTTTTTTTTATCCATGAATTCGTGCATTCGCTTTACTTATAACATTATTATTTTCTTTCATTGTTTCTAATGCACTATATCAGTGACTACATCAGCAATACGCAAGTCTAGACCCGCGGGAAATATCTGTTTAGTAACAGTATAAACAAAACTACAACTAGAACCAGTCTACAAACAGACTAAGCATAGATCTACGTACATATTCATTTTAAATGTCAGTTTTACCAAGGAGGAACATACATCCAATGATCATTTTCAAATGTCAGTCTGGACTATTGAGTGTGATCATTTTTCATTATCTGTACACAATTAAGTGACAGTTTTAAACGGAAAACTAAGGGAGGTTATTTGTCACCCTATTCAGTTTCTTCACAAACTTTTCAGCAATAGCTTCCAATTCAGTGTCCAGAAGTATTCTTAAAAATAAAGGTCAAAGATCATCTCAACGATTGTACTTACAAAAGCAAGCAAAATAGTTTTGTTTTAAAACTGTTAAAAATAATTCTTTAAGGGGGAGAACTTCACATTTACTGCAACCATGTATCTCAATACCTGTACTGTAATTTGCATTATTCATTTATGCTACGTAACAACCTTTATTAATTAACATTATGTAATTAACTTATTGTGGCTTTTTGTTTTTGGTTATTTATTCATGTTTTTGTAAGGGACAACGAATAGTTGAGGAAAATTTCAAATTGATAAAAAAAAATTAGTGGGAGAAACAACTTGTACCGTAAAAATTCGTAACCAGAAAAACAAAGTTTGTAGTCTAATGAGATTTTTAACATAACTCTTGTCATTCTTTTCATTTTTGTTTTTTTAAAGCTTGGTCAAGGGACACAGCTGCAATGCAAAAGTTGTCTCAGTGACCATTTAACTTACAAGATCTCAGGACAGGCTCATGGTTGTGATTCTTCGTGTAATACAAAGAAACAGACAACAATATGTAGGTTTACAGCACCACTGATTCTCAAAATATTAGCCAATATTATTATGTGTGTTTACAGCACCACTGATTGTCAAAATACTAGCCAACATTATTATGTGTGTTTACAGCACCACTGATTGTCAAAATACTAGCCAATATTATTAAGTGTCTGCTAAGAGAATTAAGATTGTCTACTAGTAGAACAAAAAAACAGCTTCTTTACAAACGATAAAAAATGTCAAGAAACAGGGCTGTTGTGTTCAGCCATCTGTTTGAATATGTTGTTTTTTGTAACTCTATAATATTTCAGGACTACACACATTTTCTTTAAAGTTTTCTGCTACCTCCTGACACACTGTGACTACACTTCAATATCACTAAGACAAAGACGTCGGCATAAACTAGAAGCAATAGAACATTTATTGATGCTTAAAAAAAAATTGACAAAACGTTTGAATATTCTGTCAGGTCATAGTACTACAACAACTGACAGCTGGCATCAGACTATGTCACATGTAGGTTACTAACAGGTTAAGATGACATTTCAGTATCACAGGTACAAATATAATTTACAGTTCAAGTAAAGGACCAAAGAAGCGTTGAAAAAAATCTCATAAACCTGTCACGTGCATCCAAAGTATCTTGTTATAGCTGTAATCACAAGGGCAGCATATTCTTATAACCTACTACAAATCTGCATAAACTGTTTAATTCCTGTCTCCTCCCAGCCTTTTTAACTCTTTCTCTCCATAATTATTTTCCACGTTCCGATGGAATTATTCATTTTGCTTGTTTCTGTTTAACTACTACCCTGTTATGATTAAATGTCAATTATTTTTTTGTAAGTTCTCAGGAAGTGTTAGTTAAGGTATATAATTATAGAAGAATGCAAGCTCTTTTTATCTAACACAAATTACAGTTCATAAAACCAAAAATTAATTTAATTTAATGGGGTCAAATCAACGTTGGTATTGTCAGTTAGGAGTGAAAGAGTTCAATTGTTTTACATCTCATATGTTCCATCAGAAGGAAGATTATCTACTAGTCCATACCTAATGCAGGATGATGGGGAATGGTTTAAGACAGAGTATGAAACCAGGACCATTGTGACCACCAAGCAACAGTCCAGAGTACATACCGCACAACCTGGCAGCCAAAGGCCGATTGCATTTATGTGTAAAGGGTCATTTTTGTATCACCAAAAAGCAATTTTTTAAAAGCCCTCAAATGACCTATATGATTTTCAAAAAAACAAAATGACCTCAAATATTATTGTGCAAACAAAAAGGGAAAAAAATAATTTAAAAAGTTACAATATTTCACTATAAAACTATCAAACATATGTTATCAATCACTCTAACAATCTAAAAGATTTTTTTTTAAACAACATTGTGACAGAAATCTTTTCAAGCTAATAGAAATAGACTGTAATATAGGAACACTAGAGACTTCAATATTTAAAACATTGGATTAGTTCTTTCTTTTTTAAAACAAGTTCATTAAAAACATTTTTTGATACCAGTACAACAAGTACAAATGTGTCAAAAAAGGTGTCTTTAAGTATTACCCTTATTTTGAAATCAAAATAATTAATCACCAGCAATTAATTAACAGATTGTTTAATTTTTTTGATTGATTAATGCCTTATAAGGTTCAAACTTTTTACCAGACAGACAGAATGAGTTGATATAAGTTTTGTCAAAATACTTTTTAAAATCAAAGGTTACATTGAGTCACGTTGTATTGACTACTTAATATCCCTCATGTAATTAATATGTAATAGTTGTGTGATAGGAAAAAATTCTGTTAATTATTTTTGTTTTATACTAATAGCATGCTCAGTCTGCTGTTGGGGGCTAGCTGGGAGAAGGTTCCTGTGCTGCCCTTTTAAAAGCTATTTAAGTTAAAAAAAAAAGAAATATGTTCAAGTCCAGGATGGCAGGCTGAAGTGTTAGCTACTGAACTATTCACGCACGTATACAAATAGAAGATTTTATAGTCTATTAAAAGTGTTTGGTGGCATAATATATTTCTACATCTAGTATGATAAATTAATGATGATTAAATGATTAACTAATTGTTTAATTTTTAAAACTAATTCATGTGTTGTCATCAACAATGAATAAGTGTGCAAAGTATCAACTTCATCAGGGAATGGAAGTGGGAGAAATAAGATTCCATCCAGACAGACATACGGACAGACAGAGTGAGTTGATAATTAAAAAAACAGTAATGTGCATGAAACAAACATCATTTATTATTTAATAAAATACATAGGACTGCTTACCACATTTAATTACATCCCTATTGTTTTTCTAATTACATTACTATCAAAGCGCGCTAATGTATAAAAGGGGAAGATGGTTACCAAGTAACTACTAAACAAAACAGATAATTCAACCCTTAAACAAGACACTGACCAGTAGCATGGCCACAATGACTAAAGGATTTAACATTTTTGAAAAAATGAAAAAACAAAAGGAGCTGATCATTAAACATAGAGAGCATTGAATCAAAGTCCCCAGGAAACAAAATGTTCTCATAACAATGTAAGGCAAATTTGTAAACATTTTTTTAGAAAAAAATCAATTACTAAATTTACATAAAAAACAAAGCAAATCAAAGTCTCTGTGATGAAATATTGTTTAAACCATTATTAAAGTGACAGAATGTAATATGATAATTACATTATATGATAATATTACAATATTTATACTCTATAACACATGATATTGATATCCAAATTACATGATGTCCTCAATACATAATACACAACCTTTACATGTAAAAACATAAAATGAAACTTAATTTTAAAATCAGCACAACTTTATTGTTTTGATAAAACTTCAACGTTAACAAGGTAAAACATAACAATGTATGGGGACAGACGATGTCAAGCTTATGTGTTTCTGGGTTTGTTAACAAGGGTGTCATGTGACCAGCACAATAACCAACCATCTTTATTTCGACCCAACGTATGACATTTGAGTTGGATGGACTAGGGGACATCCTAAAATCAGACCCCTAAACCAGACCCCTGGGATCATAGGCCAAGCCCTTTACCACTCAGATAACTCTTCTTGAAGGAATTTTCACAGACCCCTGGGATCATAGGCCAAGCCTTTTACCACTCAGCTAACTCTTCTTGAAGGAATTTTCAGTATTTATTCTGCTGCCATTATAACATCCATAGAACTGCTAGCTATTGTGATGAAAAGTAAAATGAATACTCTACTTCCGTAGCTACAATCAAATGGTAATAGTAGAAATTGATAAGCACTGATTGAAAATTACAATGGAGAATATAAACCAATTTAGTTATTAGGTCTGCTGGGGAGCCCTGCTATGGCATCAAGGACAAAGTCTTACGATGCTGTCAGGTTTCTTCACTGAATACAGTTTTATTTAACAAGCAATTATAGTGATTTTTATTATGGCTTGGATCAAATTACAAGTATGTTTTGGATAATGTAAAGTGTTTGTGTCAATTTCACATGCAGATTTATATTGAATTCACACTTGTGGTAAAGTCAACGACCAGAAAGTTATTTCCAACTTGAGAATATCATGAAGCTAGTAAGATAAAGTTGGAATGAAATGTTTCCATATGTCACAAAATTCTGAAAAAAAATTAGAAAGTACATGACACAGCTTAGAAAGAACAGGACACACACTAAAAAGAGCATGGCACAGCTGAGTGAGTACAGGATGTTTCTAAGACAGTACATACCTTTGAGTACTTCCCCCACTTAGCGAGCACATAATACAGGAGAAGCCTTACAAAATTCTGAAAAACAATTTTTGTCTGAACACTGCAAATGTTTGTTTTGATTTCTGCAGTTACCCAGTAATATAAACATTGTATATTGATAGCATAAGTCAAGTACCCATTGAAGTTGGGCTAGGACGCCTTAAACATCCCCAAATTCAAAATATTACCAGTCTACTCACAGACATTCGAGCCCAGGATCGCAGGTTCAGTTCAGAAGCAGAGCGCTTAATCCCTCAGCCACCACTCTCAAAATAAGAATTTAAGCAAAAATAAAGAAAAGAAGAAAGCATTTTAAAGGGACGTAACTAATCAGAAAACCAAATCACTTTGTTGTACTGATGTAGGAAGAAATTGAAACCACACAAACTCCAAAAACACTGCTTTCAAAGCCATCTGATTACCTAGCTGGTTTCATATAGATCTTATTTCCAAATATAGAATTCAACAGCACAGAAGGATTCTCAAGCTACAAACTATATAAAAGGATTTCATGACTATAAATTGGTTTTGTAACATAAGTTTAAAAATTAAATCTATTAGACTAATGATAGTCTGGACATTAAAATTAGATTGCAAGATCAGATGGGAACATGGGATGCTTTCTATTTGTAGGTAAGAAAAAAAGACAGGTTTATATTAAAATATTATTGATCCTGATACTAGGAATAGATTACTGCTTCATTTCTATAACAAAACAAAGTTTACTTCTTACATAAATTGCATAAAATCTAGTACAAGAGTTGGAAAAAAAGACATTCAAAATAAATATTTAAAACTAACATAATATACCAAATTCTTTTTTTTTAAAAAAAAAAGATTATCTAAAGCTGAAGAACTCCCCCCCTTAAACTATACCTATCAAATATTTACAAGTTATTTTCTGTATTTGATTTTAAAAAAAATAATTAATTACCAATAATTAATTGAATGTTTTCTTTTTTTTAAAATTAATTCATATATTGTTAGATACAATAAATAATTGTTTAAAGCATCAACCTGATCAGAGAATGCACAAGGGAGATATAGAGTTAACAATTATTTAAGTGGACTAAACCCAACTAATTTAGCCATATGTATGAATACTGAATAAGAAGAAGAAGAAAAAGTCCTGAGACAGCCAAAAAAAAAGAAAACACATTCAAAGTTTAGTCAGAAGAATTTAGATCAGCTGATTAATGTAAAAATCAATCAATACGGTTTTTAAAAGAAACATAAAAGAAACATACATTTACATGGAAAATTTAACACATGTAGATATGTATTTACACCATTTTATAATTATATTAACCATTCTATATGGAGATGGTGTTAATAAAATAAACAATGTTGTATATAAAGTAAAAATGTATCACTTTTTCAATAGATTTTTCAGAATATTTAGCCCAGTGCATTTATTTTTAGCCTAAATCAGATAGGAGGCACTTTTAGGGTGTAAACGTCTCAGTGATAAAGCAATTTTAGAGTATAAACATCTTAGTAATGAGGCTCTTTGAAGGAATAAACAACTCAGTGATGAGGCTCTTTGAGGGTATAATCAAACATCTCAGTGATGAGGCTCTTTGAGGATATAAACATCTCAGTGATGAGGAAGCTTCTCATTTTGAACTTGAAAATAACAAGCCTGAAGAACACAATTCAGAGAGTAAATCAATAGAAAAAAACAGAGAAAGTCAAGAGAGAAATTGTCTTAAACGAACCATACCCTTTATTATTTAAAAAAAAAAAAAAAAAAAAAAAAAAAGGAAAGGAAAGGAGAAATCTAATATCCAATCTCCATGTTTCCAATTCATATGACCAGATTATTATTTTTTTTAAAAGGAAATCTTTTATCTTGTCTTGTCATCCTCTCCAAGTGCAATGCATTTTATGGACGTGCTGTGGAAGCCCAAAGGAGGCAGTGTTCTATCTCAGTTAGCCTATCTCGGATGGCTGCCTGGTCGTGCGGTTTGCGCGCTGGACTGTCGTTCGGATTTATCGATGGTCGAGGGTTCAAATCCTGCCCGCTCCCATCCCCCGTTGTCCTGCGGGAGGTTTGGACTAGGAAGTAAACTATCTTCAACTCTGAAGGAACATCCGAAACATGTAAAACATTTTACAAACAAACATCTCTGTCTCCACAGGGTCACCATGATGAGGAATGGAATATACCCCCAGTGTATGTTCACTAGAAAGCTTTGATTATAAGATCATTGACAACCATTTTTGTTCTTCCCACTTTAGGTTGAAATATACATCTAAACATTATGTATTTGGTTTATAAAGTCTACCCTAAAAACTTTTTGTTTAAATAATATCTACTTTAAAGAACTTTGGTTTAAATAGTGTCTATTTTAAAGAAGTTTTGTTTAAATAATAATAATAAGGCTTGTCTTCGAGTCTGAAGATTAGTGAGGAATACAGTATTTCCTGTGGCTGTGCAAACCCAGCTGTGACCTACATATTTTGCCACATCAGGGCAAGCATAACCATTGTCCGCAAGTGGTCGATTTAGATTTTCTTTTCGTCGTCTGCATTTGTCCTCAGCAGCTGATTTTCTTTTGGTCTCAAATAATATCTACTTTAAAGAACTTTTGTTTAAATATTGTCTATTTTAAAGAAGTTTTGTTTAAGTACTGTCTACTTTAAAGAACTTTTCTTCAAATAATGTCTACTCCATTAAAATTGCATTCTCTTTCTCTCAACATAATTCAGGTAATAATCTCTGTATAATGTATAATCTGTGTATAATGTAAAAGACAATGCCTGGTAACATTTTAGTCTTACCTTCAATGTAGTAAACATCAGACCAAACTCTCCATGCTCAAGGTGTGGCTCCATCAAGTCCTCAATGATCTGAATCTCTGCTCCCAGGTGGTGGATCTTGGCTCTAACCACAACAAACTGGAAGATGGGGAACAGATCATCCATGCACCACATGTGTTCATCTTTCAAGGACTGGGAAACTGTCTGAGGTACAGAGCATGGAGACATGTTATAATAAACCAAAGCAAAGCATTTGACCTAATTAATTATCTTCTTCATTCATGCTAAGACTTAATGACTAATTTCTCTAGAGGTGGTCTTTTTTTTGTTTTTTTGTTTTTTTGTTACCAGATTTCTCATAAAACCTCCAAAACTTGATTTACTGTCACTATTTCTGCAGTTATACTTGAAGGTTTAGTGTCACTTAGAGAAATGGAAGTTCCAGTGTTAAACTTGATTTACTGTCACTATTTCTGCAGTTATACTTGAAGGTTTAGTGTCACTTAGAGAAATGGAAGTTCCAGTGTTAAACTTGATTTATTTGTAACTATTTCTGCAGTTATACTTGAAGGTTTAGTTTCACTTAGAGAAATGGAAGTTCCAGTGTTAAACTTGATTTACTGTAACTATTTCTGCAGTTATACTTGAAGGTTTAGTTTCACTTAGAGAAATGGAAGTTCCAGTGTTAAACTTGATTTACTGTAACTATTTCTGCAGTTATACTTGAAGGTTTAGTGTCACTTAGAGAAATGGAAGTTCCAGTGTTAAACTTGATTTATTTGTAACTATTTCTGCAGTTATACTTGAAGGTTTAGTTTCACTTAGAGAAATGGAAGTTCCAGTGTTAAACTTGATTTACTGTAACTATTTCTGCAGTTATACTTGAAGGTTTAGTTTCACTTAGAGAAATGGAAGTTCCAGTGTTTGCATTTATGTCAGAGAACAAGAAAAATATTTTTAAAATAATTTCATTGGTCCAGTCGGGGGAGGGGGGATGTCTTATCCCACTGACCATGATTGCTTTCTAACAGCATTAAAAAAAAAACATGTCCACTCAGGGCTCAAGCCTCCTCAAAGGGATTAATTCAACTTATACCTCCACATCTGTAAACTTTCCCTAGTTGACACCAAACAAAATAACAAATTAATTAATTAAAAGAGTTAATTTAAAAAGTTATTTAATTAATTATTTTATTTTTTTTCTTTATTGATTCTTGTTTTTTCAGGTGCAAGAAATAATTGTGCAAAATTTCAACTTGATTCAAGATTGGGTTTGGGAGAAATAATGTGTACAACCATTTAACCAGACAAAAAAGACATAGTAATTGATATAAGCTTTTTAAAAGTGAAAAATACAAATACTGAAGAGGAAAGAATAACACATTAGTCATTGTATTGGTAGTGATGCAAAGCTGCTCTCAGATTGAGAACAGAATGATTGTTGTACGTGATGACAACTTGGGATGGTGTCATAGTATGAACAGAGAATATAGAATTTTTTAAACTGCCCAAATGGCAAAGTGATCATGTGGTATACACGCAGGACTATCAGCACTATGGCCCTGCTAACCTTCTCCAGTTGTTCTGCAAGAGTTTGAGAGAGCGAGAGTTCCCCTTTCAGACCTTACAATCTATAGGGCAGATGATGTTAAGGACCAACTGAACTTTACTTTCCCAAACTAAAGTCATGTGCTCATTTGAGTTGGGTTGACTCAGGGAAGCTCTAAAAATCTCAAAATTAGTAAATCCCAGTCTTCACAATTTGTACCCAGAACTCCAGGTTCAGAATCAAAGTTCCTAACCACCCAGCCACTGAGCCCCCCTGCAAGAGGTTGGGCTAGAGCAAGATAATCTTTATTTCTGAAAGGGCACATCCAAAACTACAAGTCTAATCAAGCTGATGCTGTTCTTGGTAACAGATTATTTCAACCTATAAAAAGTTGAAACAAAAAGACTTCTGAACAATCAAATTTGATGTATCCTATCTGGCAGAAAGTCTGAATGGAGATATTTTAACATACACATATAGAGATAGCTTTCAACATAATAACAAGGCAAAGTCTTTAAGCTTGAGCATTAAGTAATCTTTTTTTGTGTGTGCAAGCAAAGGATATGACTTACATATTCACAGACAGATGAAGACGACGAAATATTGTGCCTACATAAGAGAAAATTCAACACACACACACACACAGTTAAATCAACACACACACACAGTTAAATCAACACACACACACACAGTTAAATCAGCGCACACACACACACACACAGTTAAATCAACACACACACACAGTTAAATCAACACACACACACAGTTAAATCAACACACACACACACACAGTTAAATCAACACACACACACACAGTTAAATCAACACACACACACACAGTTAAATCAACACACACACACAGTTAAATCAACACACACACACAGTTAAATCAACACACACACACAGTTAAATCAACACACAGAGATACTTCAGCATAGAAAAGTGTTCTCCATACAGAGGTAGCTCAACTTAAGACATTATTTTTTCTTACCTTAGTGATTTCATTAAAAGACTGCTCAATAATCTTTAATTTCTCCAATGGACTAAACGCAGTACTGAAAAAAAAAAAAAGAACCGGTCAGTCGTTGTTTTAGTAACTGTATCTATATCTTTGTTTTGAAAACTTTTACTAGAAATACTAGAGAAAAAACAAGATATTTTAACAAGTCATCTTATTGTTTGAGAAATGCTATTTAAAATTGGTTAACAAAAATTTAATTTGGTTAAAAATTTTTTTATTTGGTTAACAAAAATTTAATATGGCTAACAAACATTTAATCTGATTACAAAAATTTAATTTGGTTAACAAAAATTTAGATTGGTTAACAAAAACAAAATAGAGTAGCAAATATACCTCAGCTGTTGAAGAACATCCACGGCCTCAGCATAACAGACATCTTTAATGGTGGACAGTTTCTAAACACAAAGAAGTAGTGTGGGTTTAAACCATGTTGAACTGCTTACATTGAAGTTCTAAAACACCACTGTTGTGGATTTTCATGATAAATTTTAAGCACAGTAATTTTTTCTTTGTCTAATTTTTTTATATTTCTAAGTTCCTGTTTACATTCTTCCAGCAAATACAGAAAGACAGAAAAGCTTTTATATAGTGAAACTTTCATGCTTATAGCATGCTTAGAGCGCTGCAGTCCAATTTTTGTGGACCAATGGGGGAAAAAGGGTATCTGGAAGAAGGTTTTTTGTCCTGCCTTTAGGCGCTCAGTAAAAACAACTCTGCT